ATGAGAGGTAATTCACTGAATTGTTACAATTTTCTTCTGGAAAGTTCTGACCTTATTTGTTTTATGAGAAAAAAAGAAGAGCATGCTTACTATCTATATCAATAAAAGTAAATAAATCCTGATTTTTAAAAATATTTATACATGCATGCATACACACACAGAGAGAAACATGTTGGGCTTTGTAATATACTGTATATGTATGTGTGTATGTATGTATGTATATATATATATATGTATATATATATATATATATAATGTGTGTGTGTGTGTGTGTGCGTGTGTGTGTGTGTGTGTGTATGTATGTATGTATATATGTATGGTATATACTTAACATACCTGTAACCCCCCCACCCCCCTTTTACATTCAAACAAAATTTCCAGGGCTGCTGGCGAAACCATGCCTTCATGGAGTTCGAAAAATGTGAAGGCCAATCTTATTTCCACAGGGGCCACTATGGAAAAGGCCTTCTTTTTGGCCCCACTAAATAGACCTCTTTAATATGGGAGGGGGGACACACACATAACATACCTCACCTCTCTGGTCTGGTGACTTGGAGAGGTATAACTGGGGAATAGATGGTCCTTCAAATAACCTGACCCCAAGCCATCTAGGACTTTAAAGATATGACCAACACCTTGAATTGGACGTGAAGCAAATCGGCATTTAATGCAGTTCTCTTTAGAGCGGTGCCAAATGTGCAAATGTAGACTTGCACAAAACCATGCAGGTTCTCCATTTTGTACCAACTGAAGTTTCTGAATACTTTTCAAATGCAATCCCATATAGAGCGCATTACAGTAGTCAAGACAGGAGGTGACTAAGGTATGGCCATGCATGATCTGTTGGTCCAGGGAAGGGTGTAATTGGTGCACAGCCTACACTTGAAAGAAATACACCTCCTGGCTGTGGTTGTTGCTTGTTCCCTGAGCAGGATTCTTGAATCCATGGGAACCCACAGATTGTGCACTGGGTCCATCTGGGCATGGCAACCTCATTCAAAACCAAAGTTAGTGATTCTCCATGGACCAAAGAACCCCAAACTCGGCTCCATTCTATCTTACCAGGGCTCTGTTTCAGCCTGTTGTTCCCATCCAGCTCTTAACAGACTCGAGGCATTGTGAGAGGGAGGTCATGACACTGCTTAATTCACCAGATATCATCCTTCCCCAGAAGGAAGCAGGTCACCTTAAAGAAAGTGATTATTATCTGCAGACACAATTAGTGTGGAGAAGTGTTCATGTTTCACCTTTTGAATTGTCAGGAAGTAGGCTTTGATAGCAGTTCTTACCTGTATTTGGGTAAGCATGTTTTTCATCTTCTGCTAGTGGTGCTCTAGATGTCTCTTCATCCATTTCATATCTCTCAATTCCTCTGTTTGCCATGGGTATGGGGTCCTGAGGTCCATGGGTTGGGAGAGGTCACATGGGTGCAATCCCGTTTAAAGCCCCAGTCACCTCCCTATTCCAGATGACAACTAGGGATTTGGCAGGACTACATAGCAGATCTTCACTTATGATACTGAGCTCTTTTTGAAACCCATCAGAGTCCACCAGTTGCTGGGGGGTGGGATTGATCTAGTAGGTCCTGCCTCTCTGGGGAGAAGGTAAGGCTCCAAGGAAGCTCACAAAGCCACCAAGGTGTGATGTGACCTTGACAAGGGGATGTAGGATAGGTCCACCAATTCCAGATCATATAGGCAGTATTCCGACAAGGACACCAAATCGATTGTTTGACTCCAGATGATCTGGGTCAGGCTCATGATAGTCATCAATTCCATGAACTCCTACCCCACACCCTAGAGATCACAGAATGAAGTCCTCCAAAACTATGAATCTGGGAAGCTCCATCTTCAGCCCTGCAGTGAAGTCCAGGAAATCAGGCAGAGAAGTTGCTACACATCAGGGAGACTGGTACAGTAGCAATCCCAGTTGGTTCCTCAAGCCCAACCTAAGAAAAAGGGCATTCTTGGAACAGTGCCCTGGAAGTTATCAGAGATTCTCTGATGACAACAGCCACACTGCCTCCCTACCCTCTAGTCTAGGCTGGTGCCTCACTTGATAACCAGCTAAGCACATTTCTAAGAGAGGAACCTCACCTCTGCCCTCAGCTACATCTTGGTGATACAAGTGAGATTAGACTTCTCTTCAAGAATCAAGTCACCAATAAGGCAAGCCTTATTACAGGCTGATCTGGACTTTAAACCAGCAGTCTAAAACCGGGCCTCCACAAATTTACTGTCCAGGTAAACAAACTGAGTTCAAAGCCTGAAACACAAGATCAATACCAGATTCCAAGGGCGCATTCCCTCCAAGGTGACCTGTCCTTGGTCTCCAGTCGTATTTCTTGTTACCTGACACCACCGAAATACACTGTCTTACTCTGCACATTCCACTTGCCAATATTCTTGCAAACATATATATTTATTTATGTACAAAGTATTTTGAATTTCACCAACGATTGACTGGCTGATTGCCAGATAATTCTGATAAATTTTACTATGGTACTTCTGTGGCTTAATACCACATTATTAGAATCCGTAAAAATGAGGCATTGTTACTTGAAATGCAGGGCATGATGGTAAATCAGCTTTCCAAATTCAGAAAAAAAAAACCCTTAAATGTTTTATATCACAGTGAAGGTTAAGTAACAAGAAACAAAAACAATTCCTTTCAGAATACCCCAAAGCAGAATTTCCACAATGTCTGAAGAAGTAAAGCACCTCATATGTGGGCCTGGAGAAGAATTCGCAAAACAACTATCCCTTTCTTCTGACTAAATCCCAAATATATTTAAAAAAGGAGATCTTCTTTGGGACTTAAAAGGAGGATTGTTCTCCAAGCAAGAAAAAAATCTCGTTCTGATGTTCTTATCATTGATATTACCCAGTTGGGTAATGAAACATCTGGAAGCAAACAACCATGCTCAGAAGGACTCCACAAGACAGAATCTAATAATTAATCAGGTGGAAGGTAAGGGGAAATAACTCCTTTGAGAATGGAAGATCTACATAAGAAAATCTGCTCCCATTACAGACTGTAAACACCTTTATGATACATATTGGATGTCCTTTAGTAAACTGTTTTGGAAAGTTTTTGTAAAAAGCAGTATATAGCTAAATGAGAGGGTGACCACTGCTGGTTTGCAAAGGAACTGCAGGTGCAAATAGTAATAAAAACAAAAACTCTTGTGACATTATCAATCTTGCAAGATTTTGGTGTTCTTATTCAGAATTGTTAATAAATAAAAAAAGTGCAAAACATGCTCATTAAAAATGTGCGATGAAGGAAGGGAAAAACATAATAAACAATTCCCCCCTGGTATGTTTTGCAGTTACTGCCCGAGAATATGGACTGAAGAATCTTATAAAATATTTACTATATTAGCATCTTTAAACTTCATCCTGCATTTCATCCTGTTAAACATTTGCTGATATAGAGATCTTTTTCCCAGGGAGGGGGGATGAAAAAGTTTAACAAAACTGGAACAGTTTGATTAGACAAATTTCACGGAGGATAATACTGCAAATTATACTCTATCCTAGGACCAAGACTCATTGATAATCTTTGCCAGTTTGGAAAAGGAGGATAGGAGAGCTTTTCTTATGATCTCATGGACATATGTGAATTATAAAGACGCATTTATACCCAGCTGGATTTACATTAATGGTCTTGTAATGTTTCAAAAATCCTTACTCCTTTGCTTACCTCCAAAATCCAGCCTCATCAATCAGTCAGTCCACCCATCCATCCCAGATTCAGATTTCATTACTCTGACCAACTTTCAATCACCTTTACCTTAGACAGAGTTTCTTCACTATTTAAGTGATTTTCAGTTGACAGGCAGATGGCTAAGTATGAAAACATGTCATAGCACACTGTAAACTCCCTCATTCCCTCCTGCCTAACAAAGCAAAATGGAGAAGTTCAGAATTGTATTCGTTCAACTGTATATTAACAACCCAACAATTTTTCAAAGCTAGGGGAAAAAAACCTTTATAGTAAATTTTAATAACATGAACTGAAAGGAAGCTAATATCAAATAACATTTGGGGGGGGGGTTATGTTGTTTCAGTTAAGCCAGTGTGGTCTAGGACAGGGGTTGCCAACTTTTTGGACCTCAGGGACCACCAAACTCATAATTTTAAAGCCCACAGACCACTAATATGAATTTTGACTGATGGTGGCTTGCTGACGTTGGTGGGAGAGAGAGAGAGAGAGATCTAATCTAACCTTTCTCTCTCTCCCTCCCTCTCCCTCTTCCTCTCACACACACGAACACACAGAGGCAGGGGTGGAATTCAAATTTCTTAACCGGTTCTGTGGGCGTGGCCTAATTTGTGGGCATGGCTTGGTGGTCATGTGACTGGCTGGGTATGGCTTGTATGTAAATATTATAAATATTTATGTAAATATTGAATTTTTTATAAAAAAAGAGCAACTTTTACAAAGTTTAGATTTACAAATTAGACAAAGCAGGCAGGCAGATTGAGTTGCTCAAAGAATCAGATTCACTCAGAGATCTATCTATCTGCCATTGGCTACCCGAGTCTGCACTGAAAAATAGAAGCTTTAGTCCTAAGGAAGTTTTTCCTCTGCTTTTAGATTAGCTAGAAAGCAAGAAATCTAATGATTTTTTGCTTTCTAGCTAACCTAAATCTCCCGGCACAGCAGAACAGCTGATGGTCAGGAAAAAAAAGGAAAAATAGCAACTTAGCAGGCAAGTTTACCAGGTAAGGAGTGAATGGGTGGGGAGGGTTCCCCTGGGCCATGTGCCTGGCGCAGCCTTGTGTTCCCGCACAGCCTGGATTAATTGCTTTGGGGGGTGCTCTGGGGGTGACATTTCTCTGCGGACCACCAAAATTTTCTTGAGGCCCACCAGTTGGCGATCACTGGTCTAGGAGGCCAAGAAAACAAAAAAGGAAGCATGGGCTACACTAATTCTCTCATAGTGTTTTTCTCTTCACAAGTGCTACAGTTACATCCATTAGGAATATACTTACCATGTGGTAAAGTTATATTTGCACCATCAATGATTGCTTGTGCCAGTTCATGATCATTGTTCTCAAACGCATGTGATGCAGCCTTCAAGGCATCCCAGATTTCCTTGCGGCCTTCAAAAGCAGGGGCGGTGTCCCAAAATTCATCTCTCTTGCTACGCAGTTGTCCATCTGTCATGGGGTAATCACTTTTCCATTTCGGTTTCTCCTTTTTCAGGGGCTGATTACGGCCAAGGGCAACTGTATGAAAAGAAAGAGCGAAGTAAAGCCTCTCTTCTCAAGGGCAGAATAGTCATGTTCAAGCAACAGTTTTTGAGTTTTTGTCCATCACTTAAACAGCTCTTGTACACATTATTATTCATTTCAATTATTTATCTACAATAGTATTGTGCTGGATGGTTCCTTCATTTGTCTATAGAGTTATTACCTAATTTGATAAATAAAATAAAAAAGCCATATCTTGCTTTACATCTTATATGCTTATTAATTCCCAAATCATATTCCAAAAAAAATGTATGTAAATGGTATTGGAATTACTTTTTTTTTTTCAAATTGCTTTTCACTAAAACTCTTGTCGTATCTTGAATATAATGGAAAACCTACATAATTTTGTTAATTCAATCTCTCATTTCCAGTTTGTCATTTCTTACCCTGCCTTACAGAGGCCAATTTGTTTTGAACTGAAATAAGCCTCTGTAGATCACATGCCACCAAATCTGGAGCTGCTATTTATTAAAAGCTAAGAAGCGTTTCTTAATATAAAGCACTTTCAATATATTCATCCACAGAAACATTGTTTCTCTCTTCTTAAAAAAAATCAGAAACACATTCATCAGATCCGCTCTCCACATGAGGAGAGAATGCAACAGTTCTATGAAAAAATATTCACCCACTTTCAGATTCTTTGAATTTCTGTACGTCCTTTCAAGTTATGACTATTTGCTTAGTCATTCCATTTGAATTAACAATACCCCTGGAAAGGATACTTTATGACCCATAAAGCACTTCTGACCCATTGCAAAACATCTTTTAGGATGCCATGATTGTAATCTGGGCATTTGGCAACCCATTTGCACTTACAACTAGTTGTCAAGCATCCCTCAATCATGTGATTGCTATTTGTTGGCTTCTTTGCTGGCTTTCCTGGAAAATCAATGCTGTCTGCATGGATTTTGGCAGGAAGACTTTTCAGCCTTCTGACCAGAGATGTTGGTGTATGGCCTATGCTGGGCCTCCCCATTCCCCCTGTGGTGCAGAAAAAATGATTTTGCCCCGATTTCATGAGGGAGGATTTTTAGTGCCAGAGAGCAGTAGACTTCAATGAAGGAGCAGAGAGTGCCCCAGGGGAGTTCACCAGAGAAGATTTTCAGATCAGAGTGGAAAGACGTGTTCACAACTCAGCCTCCACTTGTGTGTGACCTGCACTGGGCCTCTCAGGATCTCCCCCCAACCCCAAAGCACACTGCATTCCTTAACCGGGACTCCGTCCACTTAACAATTATATATATCAACTACTAAAATTTATCAGTTCGTATGAGTCCTGTTGAAATGTGGAGCTTGCTTCATTTATTTCATAATCAAAAAATATCCAACATGCATTTACCAGTATGAAAATGTTCCTCTTACATTCGATAGCTGGTTGTACCTTCTTCAGCTGCCACAATTGCAAACAAATGCTTCCTGTAATTTGTAATCAGTCTCTCACATTACAATATTGTGAAGCAATTTTGGCCCATTCCTTCATGGCAAACTGCTTCAACTTAATTAACACTAGAAGGATTTCAAACATAAAATGCTTGTTCTGGATCTGCCAAAATATTTTTTGTGAGATTTATGTCTGGACTGTCATTTAACCATTCTAAAATAATGCATTATTCTCCTTTAACCATTATATTGCAGAGTTGCTTGTATGTTCTCCAGTGGAGTTTTCTGACCGAAAATGGAGTTTTATGCTTCCTTCAATAATGGCAAATGTTAAAGGCCTTGAGGAGCAAAACACCTCCAAGTCATGATACTATCCTATCACTTCATGCTTAACAGCTGGGATGAGGTTGTTATGGTGGAATGCAATGTTTGTGTTCCTATCAGACATAATTATATTCATGTAGCTCAATAGTTCCACTATTGAATGGAAGGTTCACTTTTGGGCATACTTGGAACAAGCATTAATATTTTTCTTAATCAGTTCTGTCTTGTTAGCCTCTTGTCAATATCATTATTTGATGCCTTTTTGGTAATGGAATCTTTAATGCTGATTTTGGTCAAGTAGGACATGTCTGCAGATCCCAGGATGTTTGTTATGATCTTTGAGTGATTTTGAATAGCAAAGCCAATCTTGAGAAGGTTCATTACTGTCTGACTATGTACTGATAAAAGCTCAGAAATGATTTTATAACTGTTTTACAGAGATCATTAGATCTTTATTTTTAAAGAATGAGATAAGTGCCTCTATGATCTTTATGGTGAGAACTTTACTGTGATGAAGACAGATCAGTCCTTTAATAAAAGAGAATGGATGGCACGTTTAGAACTAATGACTCATTTGATTATCCCACAATATGACAAATGAAATCACTACTTTGTTTTCTATAACTTGTCAAAGCTAACCTGCATATCATATATGAAACATTTGGGCTTTTTTTTTGCTAGACTAAAATATCTTAAGCTATCTTTCCTATTCTTAATTGGGAATACTTTCATTATGAAATTAGGCACCTCTGATGGCTTAGATATTATCACTAATTCAATTTATTTTCATGGAAAATACCTTGACAATGGTGGATTTTCATACAGAAACAATAATTGTGATTGCTGTCTTCTGCATATATTGTACAATAACTTGAAGCATGTAATCAACTTTGACAGAATAAATGCTGTCTCATCTATCCTTAATATGATTGGACAAGTCATACAGTAAAAAAGTTTAACACTGTTTCTGTGTTTAATTATGTTATGAATAATGTCTTCTTAATAGCTTGTAAAGGCAAAAGTCTGGCAATGATTAAAAGCAGTTCTTTTAGAGCTGCTTTATTAACAGTTATGTTAGACTCTGTT